AGACCCCCCTCCTGTCATAGAACCTGCTCCTGCCATGGACCCTCCTCCTGATGTCGCCCCTGACCCGGTCATCCCAGCTAGAGACCATGAGGACGCAGCCCCTGCAGCAGCAGGAGCACAACAACCATTGCTTGTACAACCTCCTCTAATCCCAAACCCTCTTTCTCCCCCTAATTCTCCCGCAGGTTTTGTGTCACTAGATGGAGTTATTACACTTAGCGGCCGAGTCGTACGTACACCTGCCCGGTATGTGTCATGTGTGGGACGCAACCCGGACAATATCCAGCCTCCCGCCGCGCCGGGAGGGGAGGGGGAGTATTGTAGTGGCTCCTCTCCCCTACAACCCGCAACTGAGCTCCAGCCGCGCCCCTACCAGCCAATCAGCGTACAGCCACATGAACATGAAATGCTAGTGACAGGGGGGAAGGAGGTTCAGGGGAAGGATAAAGGGAGGATTGAAGTGAATTTTAGGAGGAGAGAATAGGTGCAGTGGCTAAACACCACTTGCGTGAGGGAGTATAAGTTGGATGCAGCAGCAACTCGCCCGGACGCGGCTTGGAGGCGGCAGGGCAGAGTCAGGTTAGCGTCAGGTGCGTGTTTGGTTGGGCCATGGTTTCTCAGTGCTTGGTCGGCTTGATTGTGTGTGTTGTTTTCTTGTGTAGAGGAAATGTCTTGGTCTTCTGTCTTGGTATTCTTCTTAGCTTGATGTTGATTTTCTTCTAACTCTCCTCCTCTTCTTGCTCTCTTGAAGTGTCCATTCATTCGTGTTTGGGTCTTGTTGTTCGTCTTCCTCGTGTCTTATGTCCTCATAGGTGTGGAAAAAGTCGGAGACGGTGAGGTTGACCACGTGGGCTTCAGCTCCATGGGCCTCATGGTGTTCTTGATTCTGTGTGGTGGGTGTCTTTTCTTGAGTTTTCTTTTCTTGGTTTTTCTTTTCTGCTGGTTTTTTCTTGTCTTGGGAGTGTACAGCAAGGAGGGCCTCTTTGTAGCTCAGTTTCTTGTCGAGTCGAGCCTTGGCTATCCTGCATTCCTCCTTCCATTTCGGGCAGGTCCGATCGGCGGAGGAATGTGGGCCGCCACAGGCAGCGCATTTTTTTACTGTGTTGGGGCAGACCGTGTAGCGGTGTCCGGGGCTGCTGCACAGGGAGCAGGTGTCCTCCTGCACTTCACACTTGTTGACAGTGTGTCTGTAGTGCTGGCATTTGTAACAGCGTTTCGGTCTGCAGTAGGGCTTGACTGGCACAGTTACCCACGCCAGTTGAGCCTCCATGGGTAAGGTTGTATGGTGTCCGATGAGGGCAGTGGTGTCGGACAGCTTCTTCACAACTTGGAGTTGCCCCTTGAGGAGCTCACTCAGCTCTGCTTGGTCCACGTGGGAGATTACACCCAGCTTCAGGTTGTCCCACTTGTAGGCAATCCTTTTAAATGGAATGCCGTTGATGTCTGGGATCTCCGCGAGCTGTACGGGCATACCCTTCTCGGCGAAGGTGATCTTGATGTCACCATGGAGCTTCAGTCGTTCCACCTTGGTGACCCGCATGATCTCATTAGTTTCAAAGAACTTCTTGAGGACTAGGAGGTTTAATTTCTTGGGGCAGGTCGGCGTATCCGGACGTATCCGCGCCACGTTATCAAACTCGTAACCGTTCATGGTGAGAGAGGGTTAGAGAGTGGTTGACTGAGGTTAACCAGCTACGCCGAGAGACTAGGTCTATGCAGTGGACGTAGGGGTACGATCGCTGACCTAGTCTCGACCTTCAACCTCCAGCTCAGGATCAGAGCGTTTCACACCTTACGCTTAAGCCGCTGTGATTGGCCCTCTCGCTACGCTCACCCCAAATCCTGATCCTCGTAAATTGTATAAATACGGCCATGCCTGGCCAGGGAGACCATTCTACACTCGGCTACCGGACCAGCAACATCTCTCACAGCTCCTCACCACCCAGCTTCCTCAGAAACCTCCTCACCCTACAGGACCTCTGAGCAAGTTTCTCCTCACCTAGTCACTCCTAAGCACTGCGCTGTACAACAATATATATATAGAAAGGGCATTGTGAGTTTCTATCCTATCCCATTCCTGGGTGTGAGATATCTACATGTACGTACGTTTGTGTGCCCATACTAAGAGAATTGACAAGTGGCCACATACAGTACGCTACAGCATCACAGCCGCCCTAGATAAACCGGCAGATATAGATACCACAAAAGGATCACGAGAAACATATTGGAAAAGTTACTTTGGTTTATGACGCTATTAGAGTTGTGGGGTTTTTGGGATGTTTGGTTCACACTCAGGATGGGATGGAGAAAGGAAACTCACAATGTGCTCTCTGTATACATGTTGTATTGGATGTACAATGCAGCTTGGTGCTGGGAAGGCAGCATGGTTACAGGCGTGATGTAGAGAGAGCTGGTTGGTGAGGGTGCTCAGAGGAGGACAGCTTGTGGGTCGCCATGCTCGCCGGCGGGAGCGAGGACCGCCAGGCAGGCGGAGGAGGAGCGAGGGCCGCCAGGCAGCGGCGGAGGAGGTGTTGCTGGCTGGTTGGTGTAGGTAGAAAGAGACAGGTCACCAAGAGGTCAGGTCTTAATTAGCGAGGGGTAGGCGTGGTTTAGTAGTTGACCCCCGCTCCGTGACGTATGGCGGCGCTGGTTGACCTAGACCACGAGGCACACACTGTGGAATTCGTGGGGTCGGCTATGCAGCGACAAACAGCGTTTGTAGGGGAGAAATCCACTACAATACTCCCCCTTCCCTCCAGGCGGTGTAGGAGACTTGTTGTCTGCAGGGTTGCATAGCACATGTGAGGCAGAACGGGCGGTGCGTGCCTCATGTGAGACAACGGCGATGGCGTGGATGAGCCGGTCACTGGAGACAACTGTCTAGATACACAATATCTGTGGGAGTAGAGAGGGAGAAAAAGGGTGTGTGGAGGCGATGAATGTTGTGCTTCCCTTACGGCAGGTACAGAGTCGTCAGATGCGCCTGCTGGGGTGTGTGGGCCTGGGTCAGGAGCAGGGGCTGCGTCAGCAGAAACGGATGAGGGCTCGTGACAGCAGCTGGGTCCACGACAGCAGCAGGACGCAGGACATTAGCAGGGAGTACCTGAGGGAGAAAAGAGGGGTGTATGGGTCCGCACTCAGGAACAGCGGCCGCGTCAGGAGAAGCGGCATGGGGTACTGCTGGGCCGGGGTCGGCGTCTGAGGCAGGACGGGTGTGTTGGTCTGCGTCAGGAGCAGGGGCCGCATCAGGGGCGGCAGGGGTTACTGCTGGGCCGGGGGCGGCGTCTGAGGCAGGACGGGTGTGCTGGGGTCGGTAGGACGTGGTGCTTGGGGCAGGAAGAGGAGCTGGCGTTTGCTTAGAGAAGCAGTGCTGCTCTAGGGTGTCTAACCTGCGGTGTAGAGACAGTAGTTGTAGAGCCGATGAGAGCTGCTTCTGTGTGGATAAGCCAGTCTTCCATGTTGCTTGAAGACTGGGAGCGTGATCAGTTTCTCCTCCATCCTGTGAGTGGTCACTCCGGGGTCACCATTTGTGGGGTTTTTGGGATGTTTAGGTTCACACTCAGGATGGGATGGAGAAAGGAAACTCACAATGTGCTCTCTGTATACATGTTGTATTGGATGTACAATGCAGCTTGGTGCTGGGAAGGCAGCATGGTTACAAGCGTGATGTAGAGAGAGCTGGTTGGTGAGGGTGCTCAGAGGAGGACAGCTTGTGGGTCGCCATGCTCGCCGCAGGAGCGAGAACCGCCAGGCAGGCGGAGGAGAGGCGAGGGCTGCCAGGCAGCGGCGGAGGAGGAGGTGTTGCTTGTTCAAGTAGAGAGGCCAGAATGAATCTCAATGAAGAGACAGAGCTTATATACCCAGCAGCCGTGAGTCATCTATGAGTCATGTTGGGAAAACCCGAGAAACTCGCTGGTCTTTTGACTCAGTTGCTAGGATACGGTGACATCTGGTGACGCCGCCGCCTGGTTGCTAGGGAAGGTGGTAGCAGCTGGTGGCTGTGGCTACGCAGTTGTAGGCAGTTGTAGGGGAGACGTCCACTACAAGGTGTTGCTGGCTGGTTGGTGTAGGCAGAAAGAGACAGGTCACCACGAGGTCAGGTCTTAAATGGCGGGGGTAGGCGTGGCTTAGTAGTTGACCCCCGCTCCGTGATGTATGGCGACGCTGGTTGACCTAGACCACGAGGCATACACTGTGGAATTCGTGGGGTCGGCTACTCAGCGACAAACAGCGTTTGTAGGGGAGAAATCCACTACAGAGTAAGGGATAATAGTTGAAAAGTACTGAAGTTCGAATTGTTTATTGATTTTTTTTACGATTTGATAAAAATTATAACATATAAAGTGTAGTAGTGATAGGAAAATGATTAAATTGATGACGAAGAAAACCATTTTTCTCTGAATGATATTAAGTAGGAGTGATTTTTGTGAAAAAGAAAGATTTCAAGAATTGGAGTTTTATGTATCGACCTCAGTAAAGACAGCAAGTTAGATATTTTTTTAGTAAAATCTTTAAAGGAATTCACATTTATTCAGCATGTATATATATATATATATATATATATATATATATATATATATATATATATATATATATATATATATATATATATATATATATATATATATATATATATATATATATATATATATATATATATATATATATATATATATATATATATATATATATATATATATATATATATATATATATATATATATATATATATATATATATATATATATATATATATATATATATATATATATATATATATATATATATATATATATATATATATATATATATTATATATATATATATATATATATATATATATATATATATATATATATATATATATATATATATATATATATATATATATATATATAGACAATTTTCATCAAGATCAATTCGACAAAGTTTTATATTTTAGTTTCTTCTTTATCATTACATCAGCTTTATAATGACGTCATATCCCTGTAGCTCTCAGGAACCATTGATACGTCACGACGTCAACAAACAATTATGCTCAATATAGCCTTTGATGTGAAGATCTCTGAACTATTAGGATATTTTAACAGTTTTGAAAAGGCCATAAAAGAAATTCGGTCATTCCAGAGAGAGACAGGAACTTACTTCTGCCAGGCATGGAACCACATAAGAGATTCAGGTCACACAGGTTTGTATTCGCTTATGGGTTTGGTCAACATGATGGATAGATAGATCGAGTTTATTTTGTATTTAACAGGCGTAAAATCATGAGCACCTTTCATTACACTCAGAGAGTCTGGGAATTTCTAGTGTACCAGACGTTGCGGTCAGTTTTCGTTAACCACTCGTCACCTTTTTTCACATGAAAAATTAATTTTTTCCGGTAAATTTTTACTTTAGGACACGAGTCCGTAGGAGTTGACCAGTATGTTTTGCCAGTGTATTATGGTGTGTTTTAAGCGAATCTGACCTTCATTTTTACCCGAAATTGCTCGTTTTTTGCCCCCCCCCTCAATAATGTGGGAGAGCCTGGGAAATGGTGATTGGTGTGGGGAAGAAAACGAGTCATCTAACCTAACCTAACCTAACCTAACCTAACCTAGCCTAACCTAACCTAAATGATTCAGTAGTGGACGCGCCATGTCTGAAAGTACAATACCTTAGTTAGAGGTGGAAGTACCAGTGATACGTAAGAATTGGATAGAATGATCGTCTTTCTTGTAAAACTCAGCAATGAACTTAAAATAATCGTAGGAGCATAAATGACAACCAACCTCCACCACGGCCATTGTGAGACTGGTCACTGAATTTCAAATCCATACCTAGGCTGCTTCCTTTGAAAAATTCAAATGTGATTGGGAAAAAAAAAAATCGGGAGATGATATCGATACATCATTGGTTATGACTGGATGTCATCAGTCAATATTGCGCATGCGTGATACATAATTAACTCGGTTTTGCGTCGTTAACATCTCACAGACGAAGACTGAAAAGTATGTAAAATCAATTAAATTAAATTGTGTCGCTATTTTCTATTTTCGAATGGTATAAATGGGGGTTCAAAATGCTCAGAATAGCGAGATCTAGATGTTCAGTAGCTTATAACTTTCGGGCGCGCTGTGTCCTAAAGTAAACTAATACCTTTTTTGCTCGTTTTCTTGCTGTTTTAGATGATTCTGACATTTATCTTTGGGGCAAATCACTTTATTCTTTTTTTCTTTTTTAGTTAGGTTAGGACGTGGCCTGTTAGGTTTGGTCAGCTAACTTAACCTAACTAAAAAAAAACAAAGTGATTTGCCCCAAAGATAAATGTCAGAATCATCTAAAACAGCAAGAAAATTAGCCAAAAATTTATATTTTTCATGTGGAAAAAGGTGATGGGTGGTTAACAAAAAATGACCGACGTTGCTACATTCATGCTTCATAAAATGAACCAAACTAACCTACCTATCTTAATGTAATCTCGTTTAACCAAACCCAAACTAAAATAAACTACAGTTAATGGTACTTTTCTGTTAATTCATGAAAAAGGAGTAAATTCTTTCTTGTTGTCTCCAACAGAATATCGGAAATTTGATTTGTGCAATCAATATTTTAATGAAAATTGGGTAAATTTGCAGTTTCACTACCAATTGGTTTTTCACCAGAAGTCTTGGTCAGTTTATAGTCTTGCACCGGTCTTTCTTTCGCTGTTATTGATATTTATTTTGTAACGTTTAGACAATTCTAAGACATTTTTCTTCTATGATATTTCCATCAGAAATTAAGGATAACCGAGATATTAATTTTTCAATATTATTATAATCTTTTAGTCACAAGTTTCACCAGTCTTGTTTACTTTTGGCGGAGTAGGTAGTATTAAACCGGTCTTTATTTTGATATTAAAAATAGGTTTTTGCTCTGGTATTTGAAGAGTTTTGAACGAATTTGATTTTAATTTCCGCTGGAAATCACTATTTTTTTTTTAGTTTAACTCCCCACCCACACACCCCCCCCACCCAACAATCATAACGGAAAAAGTTGGATTTTTTTTTCGAATAAATCACATAATAAAATACCAACCAACCAGCAAAACCAAACCTAACCTAACCTGAGCTACCCTAACCAAACCTAACCTAACCTAACCTTTGTTCATGCCCCCATATACTACCTTATTCTGAAAAAGAATCAGGATCTCTGGGTCGTCAATGCACATGCGCTGTAGACGCTTAAGAAGTGAAGACGGAGGTAAGGAGGTGTCAGACTACGCCAAAAGTAAACACGACATGGTAAAACTCGTGACTGAGCTAATGTAATAATATTAATATCTCGGTTATCCTTAATTTCCAGTGGAAATATCATAGAAGAAAAATGTCTTAGAATTGTCTAAACATCATATCTGTCGGGAATCACATTCTTTGGATGTCTACATACAGGTATGACCGAAACTAAAATTTTACCGGAAATCAGTTGTTTTTGAGTTATCACCCCATCCAAAGAAACCTACCTAACCTTAACTAATTTCCTAGCTGGGAGGGGCTCCGCCTTCCAGACCTCATGGCATATTAAACATAAAGTACTTATTTTGGTATCTGGTACCAAGGAAAGCAACTTTGTTGAAGCATCATGGTGTAATTTTACTTTTTTGTGGACGTTTGCCTCACAAATGATCTAAAAATGACCTAACCTAACCTCCTAACTGGGGAGGCTCTGCCCCCTGGAGCCCCTGGCATATATATTTCATTTATGAGAGAAACATCATGGACAAAAAGTGTCTTAGAATTATCTGAACTGTTGATTGCAACCATAAACTTTTCAAAATGCTTTGGGTGGCAACAAGTAAAATACTGAACAGTAGTCATAAAAAAAGAAGGGTAATGTATGAGAACACTGCTACCACCAGAAGGAGTTGTTCAATTTCATTAATTTTTTCCACAGATGTCCTTATCATTACAGTAAGTATTTTAAGAGTCAACCTTGGTTAAGATTCATTTTAGTTACACCACAGAACTTCGTATTTCTATTTATTTAGCGAGAAAGAGCAAAAACTATTCTGTTACATAGCCATCTCAGATTTATATTTTCCAAGTATTTTAACCGATGAGACCTCCCCAATTACCATCAATATTGGTTGTTCAAAGTGGACAGGGCTTTGAAGTACAGTAGGCTCTCACCAATAACGTTTAATAGCTGCCTGAAAAACACCGTTATTAGCGAAAACGTTATTTGTGTGACATTAAAATACATGTAAAAAGGGTTTATTGGTGCCTCTGCCACAAGAATTTCATCCATTTTTTCCCCCTTGAAGCCCTGCCTAACACTTTTTGTTAGCTGAAATAAAAAGAATTGCTATTCAATCATCAAAATAAAGAGTTTGAGTAATATAACACTTAGTTTTTGAGGTGCTTGGTGTGATGATTGTTCCGTATCTGAGGGCCACTAACATTTGCATTCTACAAGCTAACCATTTCACAAGAAAATGCTCTGTTATCACTATCAACCTGTTTCTATCACTTTTATCATTCATAGCTCGCCTCGCATTTCCATCACTACCGAAATATTTTTAGCCAGCACAAACTCTTCTTGGTCTCCTCTAAGTTCCTCTTAATATTTCGCACTGTAGACTCAGGACAGTTCAATTTCCTCACTTTAAAAGTTCCCAGTCATTCAGGTGGCAAATCACTCCCTCCACCACCTCCCTAGCCCCCACAGGCAAAAATGCATTAGCCACTATTGATCACCGACCCTAACAACCACTGGTTATAGTGGCGAAAATCTCACGCGTGGGCGCAGCGCTGTATTCCACTGAGCATGTGTGAGAGTGAGGCGGAGTGGACAACTACGTCATCAACACGGCGGCAAACAAATGCTATCATTGATGCGCTCGGACGCTTCCCGCGAAATTTCCGTTATTCAAGAGAATCCAGACGTTATTATCGAAAATGGGTACCTATTGTAACTTACCGTTATTGTCGAAAACGTTATTGTGGAAGTCGTTATTGGCGAGAGCCTACTGTAGAGGGAAAATGTGGAGTAAAATGTTGAAAAGAACACCAAATAAACCTTTGAAAACCTTACCTAACCTTTCCTAACTTGTAAAAAGGTTAAGAATTGCTTTGAGTGTATGGATTCCCACCTCATCTGAACACCGAAAACAATGCCACATACTAAACACCGAAAACGTGACTAAGGTACCGGTAAGTCTTTTATGGTTTTAAGATTTTTGTAGGTTAGGTAAGATTTTCAAATGTTTGTTTTGTGTTCTTCATAGTATTTTATCCCATAATTGATCGATTTCAAAGCACTGCCCACTTTCAACAACCATGATTGTTGGTAAGTGGGGGGGTCGTATCTCCATAATGGCTCATTGTCAATGGAAATAAAGGTCAGATTCTTTAGAAGTAGCAAAAAAATTACTTGGAAAACCTATTTTTGTTAGTAGTTTCTGTGGTGTAACTAAAACAAATCTTTACCGTGACATTTACTAGAACCAAATAAAATCTGACCTAACCAGCCAAAGAAACTTACCTAACCTTATGATAAATTATACTGGTCAGTACTGTACTGTATAATGTAGCAGTACAGTATCTGGTACTTTCAAGAAGTTCCCAGAGTCACTGAATGTAAACAAGGGTGCTCATGATTTTTGGTTTGTCAAATACGAGATTACCGTTTTATATTTATTTTATGAAATGCTCATGTAAATTTACGTTTAGTGTACTGTATTTCATTGTAGATTTTTAATTTTTTTTTTTTTTTTTTTTTATCTATGTCGGACTTATGACCATGTCGGACTTACGACCTGGATTTGGGTCCCTAACCCCGTCGTAAGTCGGGGTCTAGCTGTATATATATATATGGGTGAAGGTAGTTTTAGGCTTAACGGTTTTATCTTATAAAATGTAGCTGATTAAACTTAGCAGAATATAAATTGAATTGCTGGATTCCTTGTAAGATAGTGATTAATATGAGTATACCGGGTAAACTTCGCATAGTTTGCACAAGAGATAAAATTTTTAGTTTAGTGTAGTACATTTGAGTACAAAGTGTGTACAGTACAGTAATGTTGCTCAAAATTATGGCTTTTTCACATTTAATTTACATTTAATATTTGTTTAATTTAAGTTTCTAGCAGTCCATGGTGCTTTAGAGACACAGGAAGTGTATAATTAGTGGGTCAGAGATATATTGTTCAATTATTATTACCTG